CATGAGATCGTATTATACATGAGGTCGTATTGTACATGAGATCGTATTATACATGAATAAATACGGTAAGTCTGTGGTTTAGTTTTTAAAATAAGGAGCTACAAATATTTAAAAGAAAAGTTAGGGTAAAGCATGATACAAATGATCAATCTACTTTGCACGGCACATATTTGAAAAAGCATGTCCAAACAGACCGTGGCAATAGTTAGTAGTTTCTATTTTATTTGTTTCTTTCCCAGTGAATAAATTAACTCATCCAGTCAACATATACTTATGCATGAACCACTCCACCTTCCCCTAACATTATTCATATATTCCTATTGAGCTTCTTTTCGAACTACTTCAAAAGGTTAGAAAAATTCTAGAAAGGTCCTTTGTGGTCCAAAAGCAACAAATGAGACTATTTTTTTGGCTGAATAAAATCTTAAACAAAAGGAATTATTTCAGTGATTAYACACCAACATACTGACACTTTCAACAAAAGATAAATTTGGTAAACCTACAGAGAAATACAGCTTTTCTGACATAAGCTCAGTCTAACCTGGCTCTTCGGAYCTCCTCTGGGTGTCCCAGTTACTTTGGCTCTGCTGGGGACTTGGGGGGTCACCATGCTCAGGTTTTGATCCTTGTAACAGGGACTCTCTGCTTTGGGCCCAGGCTCGACGCCGCACAGACGCCATGCTGATGGGCTTCCCCGTTGGATCTGAGGATCAGTCAAGCAAAATGCGTGTTAGGAAAGACGACTATAATGTAGTCAGTCAGGTTTGACTGTTACTGAACTCACACAAACTAAAACCTAACTGGGTGAGTTTAAACTTACAAAACTTAAACTGGGTGAGGACTCTAGGCTTTTTTGAACCCTAGTCAAAAATGGCACAGAGTTCTTAACCAGCTGTTCTTATCAGTTTGGTAACCAAAGATAAGGACAAGACTGAGGACTCAGTCTCCACATGATTCATCCCAATTCCAAAATATCTGAACTGCGTAATTAAACAAAAATGCAGCAATTTAGTAACATATTTCAAGTGCTTTATTTCATTCTTTGCAGTCTTATTTCAACAGTTTGGCAAAACATGAAGACTCACTTGGAGCAGTGCTGTTTTCCATTTCCAGGAGTCCACGCTCTCTTTTGGCATGTGTGTTCAGTTAGAGGAATRAGACAGGTAACACACCTGCAGAAASASAAAAACTCTTCAGTATGCTGCACACTTATACAAGTCAAACTTAGTAAAGTTCAGAATTTCACTCAGTACATATGTTAATGAYGGGTTATGATGAGATGAAAGACAAAAAGGATTAAAGATTCACTTGTTTTATAAAGATATAGTGCACTGGAATATTTTTTGTATTTCCAAGTATCTCTTGTTTCTTTCATTCAAGGCTGCTAAATGTTACTGATTTCATTTTATTGGGGGTGAAATCAGGAAATAAAATAACTAAAATAAAACAAATTAAACTAGTATAAGTTTAAAGCACTAGCTATCAACTTCAATTTGAAAWTTTTCAACTAAATTGGAGAACTGATTTTTTTTTTTACAGTGAAAGTGTTTCCCCCGTCTTGATTTCTTATTCTTTTGAATGTTTTTCAAATGTAGCAGCCCTACCAGAGACCACAGAGAACTCTACTAGAAAACAGACCATTTTAGCCATAACTCAAGACAGGAAGGCGCTAGCTGCACGAAACTTGAAGGCCACACATTTGGAAAGATGTTTAATAATTCGGCTTGGCCAACAAAGCTCTGACCTACCCGGAAAAAAAATCACTACTTTTAATCTGAGTGATAAAATCAGGGCTATTTGGCCAAAAGCCACCATAAATCTCTCTGTAAAGCCTTTATAATCACCAATGTCTGTGTTTTATTTATAAAAATTAATGTTTAATTATGAAGAAAGGTCCTCTGGTGGTGAAACAGATCATTTCCTGAATCCCAAACCACAGAGAAAACTCCACCCCCTCATTTGCATATTGGACCATGAAACAAAACGCCATGAAATAGTGCAACAGCATTAATTAAAAAGGGCGTTCAAAATAAAAGTCCCTGAAATATGTAAAGTACCTTTACAAAATAAGTGTCACAAAATAAAACTACAATATTTAATGTCCTGATGCATCTCAGTAATCCAGGTAAAAAATCAAAAGGAAAAAAAAATAGTATAAGTCCTCTGGACGGGTTCTTCTCTAA